AGTCTGACTTGAAGACGTTTCAAAATCAGTGCCCATGAGCTCCAGCCGAGTAAATGAAACAAACTTAGAGTTTCTTATGAAAAGTGATTCACAATGATGGCGGAAGTTTATTGAAGCTAAAAGCTACTTATTAGAAAAGTCTGAAAGCAGTGGTTGCAAACAAAGGCTGTTCCACAAGGAATTAGTCTCGGTTTGATTCTACTTTCTGTAATGCATTGGCTACCTCTTTTTTCCCATTATTTAAAATGTATAAATATTATATAATTCTATATACATGTATATGTTAAAATATGAAATATGTCCATTGTAAGAATTAAGTTTATATGTGGTGTCATTTTGAGAGAGATGTATAAGTAAACAGTAAAATGTGCTTTCTCATGGAATACGTATTTTCTCTTCCATACGCACCCCCCACACACGCAGCTAAACAAGAGCAACCAACCAACAAGCTTGATACATATGATCCTAAATTGGTTGGGTCATATGTATCATTTAAGCTCTATCTCAGGAAGAAACATGAATACATACACAAATAGAGTAATGGTATTAGATAGATAGATAGATAGATAGATAGATAGATAAGTGTTGTTATAATGTACTCTGTTTATTATTTGTCACTTTCATAATAGTTTGAATGTAATATAAATGTTTGTTTATATAGGTGGACTCATATGTGAATATGTATCGAAAACAAATATTGAATTTCTTATTAAAATGCCGTAAAAACAGAATAACGGTCCTAAGTCTAGAATCCCATATTGAATTGTAAACTAAAAATGCAATAAATCTACGGTATTATTTAATTAGAAACGCTTTTAGTTGCTTTTATAAATAATATTTATTTAGTACACTATTTTCTTAAGAAAAAATTCGATGAATAATGAGGTTTTAAATGGATTGCAAACATTTTTTTTTAATTCTAATTATAATAATTTAAGTCGTTTAAGTTTTTGCATTACTTCATTCATGTTTGGAGCTAATGTAATTAAATGAAAACTATATTTACGAATCAAAAATTGAAAAGCTTATTAAAAGTCGTCTACCCCAATATTTTTTTAAATAAATTTGAATATTTTTTTTAGTGTAGAAATATTCTCATTTCCATAAGTATGACTGTTCGTCACGTGTTTTCAGACTTGACCTTCTTAATATTTGGCCGACTGCAACTCCGTCATTTTCATTTCTGTGTTTCGTTAGACTTTGTATATCATCCCTTCAAAATTTTAAGAAAATAAAAGGAAACTTCAAGAAGCTATTCAAGATTTATTGTAGGTCCCTAGTCTTAATATATGTTATATTTATAGGTAAAAGTTCTCAATATCAGGGATTTAGCGGATGTAAATAGAAAATTAGACACAGGCATAAAATTGTATGCTTTTATTAAGTGTATATTACAAATGGAGATTGGGTGAAAAAAGGTATACCCATCTAATATACAGTGAAATGTAAATTTAGAAATGTACAATCTGGGAAATAGTGATATTTGGTGCAGATTTCGGTATTTTTTTCATATTTAATTTGTGATAATTTCTTTCTTATTCAAAAAGTTTGTTTCAAAGATAATTATGACTGGAAATATATCCAAGCAGATTTGATAAGCAACCATATTAAAAAATACATATATGTAGTATACAAAGCTCGAACTATTTTTTCTTGTGTATATAGCCTATATATATATATATATATATATATATATATATATATATATATATATATATATATATATATATATATATTTGTAAAAAAAATACTTTTACGAATTTTTGGATTGGGTTCTTTTTGCAAAAGATAGCATGTAGTCGACGTCGTTGCTTTTCACTTTTCATTTTGCGTCTCATTTTTTTGTTTGGGAAAAGTTCATCTTTTTTTCTATCAATCTATGTGTTAAATAGATAAGAGGATTGCTTTCTTTTGTCTTGGATGGCAAACCGTCAAGGAGTGAAAACAAAATAGTAGACAAGACAATAGGATACACACCTTTCTTTTTTCAAGAAACATGACGATTTTAAACAAGGAATAAAATGAATAGGTGGAGAAAGATAATTGTCTACAACATGAAAGATAATTAAAAATTTCTAAATCTAAAAACAAAATTAACCTATAACAAATTATTGTAAAAACTACCGGAGTCGCCCTGTTTTATTGCATTCTTTATGTAAGATATTTTGAAACATTTCTTGTTTATATTCATCTCTTTTGCTTCTCATATACAGTATTATTTTTTATCGCTAAATAGATTATGTAATGTTTTCTAATGAGCTACTACCTTTCTTTTTATATACAACAATGTTTTGGCTATAACTGAAGTGCTTTTGTAATTTCTTGTTATGAACATTTAGATTGATTTAAACGGTACATGAATAAATATACTAAAATAATTTCCCTTGCTGAAATGGGTTTGTGGTTAACAGGCCTATTTTTGCGCCTTCTATAGCGTTACATACGGTATGACATCACGTAGAAACATTTATGTATGATGCTATCTGTGTTTTCAAGTATTATAATCTTTATTATTTTATTATAATTTCATGAGAAAAGTTTGTTTGAAAAGAAAAAAAATTAAATAAAAAAGCTTAATCGCAACACCTTCTCTTTCGTCTTTAATGAAACATGTACATAAGTGGAATGTTGTCTAAATACAATACATATATATATATATATATATATATATATATATATATATATATATATATATATATATATAGAGAGAGAGAGAGAGAGAGAGAGCGAGAGCGAGAGAGAGATAGATAGTAGGGTGCAAAATAGTATTCGAACAAAAATAGGGATAATGTGACAATCTTGTAAAGTTCTTTACAGAAAACTTTTTTTGATTTAGCATTGTGTATGACCCATGTCTGTTCAGAAATGAAAAGTATTCTTTATGAAAAAATTGCATTGAAAGTGTACTAATCCCATAACGAAAATTTAATTAATCTTTAAATTAGATTTTCCCACGTACTTACGTTTTTCCGTTTTGTGGGAGCAAGGGAATACAAAACTGGTCCATAATATCTATTGTGCCATGCGCTTTTGCACACATCTCTCGCCATTTTAAAACGCAAAAATAAAACACTGAAAATACTAAAACATTTTTATATTATCCAACATGTTGAAAAGATTGTATTGCTTGGGAAGCATCCTAATTGGAGACTGTTCCTCAAAGTATCAGCTCTTTGTTGAAAGCCGTCCGAATGGAACCTACCCCTTACTAATGGAATACGCATGGAATAAGAATGATATATTATTACGTAATTGTCATGGCGAGTCCGAGTTGCCTTGTTCAGAATTGGTGTAACAAATGAATGTAGCTCTTAAGAACTCTTGCGATGGAAATAGCGATAGAAATCTAATTTTGCATAGCTGTTCTTTTCCTTTTCTAGAACTGTCTTCTAACGATTGTGGGGTGTTCGGAATTAAGCAAGAATCCCACTACATCTTTCTATGTGTTAGCTTGGAAAATATTGGTTACAGTGGATTATAAGTATAGCACAGATTTGCTTGAAACAACGTGGTTTGTGTTGATATTTTTTCTTTAGAATAAAATGTGTGCATGTGTTATATACCGTACCTATGGACACTAATACGTATGTCCCAATCCTCATAAATACATTGGACACTAATATAAATTGGGGTAATATGTTTTTTAAGTAGTTCACCACTAGTAGTGGTTTACCTACTTCACGCCGCTGGCGAGTATTGGATTTTGCTAATCCTATAAAGATTACCATTTCATTTCCAACCTCCGTTTTGGTTATTCCTCATTCAGTAACCTCTTCTAGGTTACAACATTATTTACTTACTAGTATCTTTGTAATTTATCATCTATATATGTCCGTTACTACATTCATATCTATCTATCTATCTATCTATCTATCTATCTATCTATCTATCTATCTATCTATCTATCTATGAACACTAATGGGTATGCCCCAATCCTCATAAATACGTTGGACACTATTGTAAGCGGGGTGAGAGTAATATGCTTTCTAAGTAGTCCACCGTTAACAGTGGTGCACCTATTTTACGGCGCTGGCGAGTATTGCATTTTGTTGATGTTATATAGATTACCATTTCATTTCCAGCCTCCGTTTTGCTTATTCCTCATTCAATAACCTTTTTCTAGTATACAACACTATCTATCTCACTAGTCTCTTTGTATTTTATCATCTATATATGTCCGTTACTGCATTCACATCTATCTATCTATTATATACCGTACTTATGAACACTAATGGGTATGACACAATCCTCATAAATAAGTTGGGCACTGTTGCAAGCGGGATGGGATAATATGCTGTCTAAGTAGTTCACCACTAGCAGTGGTTTACCTACTTCACGCCGCTGGCGAGTATTGTATTTTGTTAATGTTATAAAGATTACCATTTCATTTCCAACCTTCTTTTTGCTTATTCCTCATTCAGTAACCTTTTCTAGGTTACAACAGCATGCCTGAAAGCATTCATCAAGAGATGAAGGAACCCCTATTTTGAAGAAAGCTAAAAGGGGTGCTCAGCAATGTATGATCCGAAGTCGTCCCGAAAGATCGTCCTATGTATTGGTACAACTGGGGGTGCTTTCGGTTGAGAACCAACTTTTACATTGATCGACCAGTGATGAAAAGTGATCAAGTGAGCTATCAATCCAGCGGAGAATTTTTTTTTTCAGAGCAAGATGTGAGAAAAAGCTAGAGGTGGTTCGCCTGATGTCTTGTTGTCTCGTCATACAGAATCTATTTTTGCTCTCAGTCATCAAGGCCGATGCTAACATTCATGAGTGCAACTCATTGAGTTTTCTCGGTCTCATGTTTTCTGTTGTCAGGATGCTTATATTGAAACGATGAGTTTTATAAGAAAAACGTTTCACTATTTCGTAATTGTCATCGTCAGAATCTATATTGCACATTTATAAGCCGACCTTTTCTCCATATATTGCCTATTGTTGCTACATCTAGTCAGGTTTTTCCAATATATTTAGTGAATCAAGGCTCACGGCCACCATCAGGTTGAAAAATCGGTTCCCATACCACCACCGGAGTTAAGCAACCTCAAGTCTTGTCAGTACCAAGATGGGTGACTGTTTGGGAATACCAGGTGCTGTAGGCTTGATGTGCGAGTGGTTAATGGATAATGGGTCAACATTGTTAATCGGAGAGTCGGGTTTCAATTTCCGTTGGGTCCGCTATATTAACATACGCAAGAAATACATTTGGCGAAAGGTATGAATCCATCTTTTCTCTCCTCAGCTATGGGTTATTTAGTAAGAATTGTATCACAAAAACAATTATTATCTATAACATATGTAACAACAATTTCGCACAAACTAAAAATATTTTCTGGCTCTAAATAGCCTACAGTAGGTTGATAAACCGTAAAAAGTGAATGAATCAATCAATAAGTTAATCGAAAGAATACTAGTGCTATCTGTCCTGAGCTAGTATCCTTGCTTCATTCACTTTTTTTTATCACCGTAAGATTGCCTTTCTGTGCCTTTTCTATGAATATTTTATAGCAAATTTTGTCAGGATCTTTTCTTCTTTGTACCTAGACTTCATTAATTTAAGTATAGTACTAGATAGCCTGCTAGCTTTCATTATTTTATTGTTGAAAATACAATCCCAAACGTCGTCTTTTCTTTCGGTGGATCCATTTATTGTCCCTTCTCTTCAATAGCATTTCTCAGTTTATTTCACTCTCACAAAACCCTTGCTTCCCAATGACATTTATCATCTTGACTAGAGCGAAATGAGGAAATAAATCACAGAAAATATCAAGTGATGAATACGTGGATATATAGTAATTGACGTTAAACATGATTGTATTGTTAAGGAAAGCATCCACGTGGGAGTCTCTTCCACAAAGTAGCAATTCTTGGTCAGAGGCTTGAGAAAGAAATAATAAGTTTCATTTCAAAGAGGCTACTCATATTTTTTTCTAATATTTTTCAATGTTGCCACTAAAAACACTTTTAGGAATATAATATTTTAGGGAAAATACGAAAATAACGTTGTTTTTGGAAAATGGCGGTAGCCTATAAATGTAACTATCAACAAGTCTCTATGCTGCAACTCTTCTTCATGATTTACAAGCTAATTTTATTAAGGACAGCAAAAGTTATTTTGCTAGGATATTGGGAAAAGATTTCCATGACGTCCAATTACATTTTTTACGATGACTAAGCTGTGTATTTTTATATTTTCTTATGAGAATCAAAAATGTTTTTTTTTTTTATTTTTAGAATTCAATTATTTTTCCGACTAACTTACCGTAATTCCTCCTTCATCTTGTTTAGAATCGTCGATGCCATGCACTGTAAAATAAACCCACAAAAACATCAATAAACAAACCAGACATTACGATGTAAAAAAAAAACGTATATAAGTATAGTAAAAATTATTTTAAAGATATTTTTAAGAAATATTTTTTGTATTAGTTGATGATAAACGAAAATAATGACATTAAGTACAATTCTTTTTGATCTTTTGCCATGAAGATGATTTTTTAAACTTTTTTTTCTATTTGATGTAAATACAACTACTTAAAAAATAAAGAAAGCAATATACATGAATTCCAAATTTACTCAGTGGACACTTAATTAAAAATACCAACTAATACACAAATCTGCTCACGACACAAACATTGATTTATTTTTCAACGAAAATTAAAATATCTACATAGAGCGCATGAAATCTGTCGGATTAAACAAGTTTCAAGTAAACATCATTTCTCTATTAGCAATTCGCATTCTCCAGGACAATTTGGAACGACTATTGTCACGTAAATCTCTGTCGTCATGACGGAGACGCATTATTCAAAATCTACCAACTGATCCCTTTCTAATTTAAACGTTAAGGACATTGTTTATTTATTGATGGGAGAATAAAAAATACAGTTGTATTCAGTTGTATTTAAGTCACATCCTTTGTCTTTTTATCAGTGTTGATAAGACAAGTACATAAAATAGTGTAGAGATTAAAAAATATCATCATCTAATGATAAACAGTCGAATGAACAGTCGAGCAGTAACAGCCGAGCATATATATATATATATATATATATATATATATATATTAAAGACATTTTATGTTTAAAGTTCTTTTTATAGATAAAAAGTATTTAAGTAAATGCATTTTATAATAAAAAGTATTAAATAACATTTACCGAGAAATTTTCATAGAAAATATTCATCCTTTGACAGGATTCGAACCTGCATCCTATACGGAACCGTCATTTACGCTAAAAATTTCTCGGACATTCAGGCCGGTAAATGATATTTAATACTGCTTATTATAAACAGAGCATTTACTTAAATACTTGTATCTATAAAAAAGAACGTTAAACATAAAAATGTCTTTAATAAATAAATTGTCAGACTTTGTCCATTTCTTAATATATATATATATATATATATATATATATATATATATATATATATATATATATATATATATATATATATATATATATATAATTATTCTAATATTGTAACATAAATGGGTTATAAAATCACTACAGATATAGCGGTTTTGTTTTAACACTTCTGGTGTCTTTTCAAGTGATCACTTGATAAGACACCAGAAGTGTTGAAACAAAATTGCTATATTTGTAGTGATTTTATACCATATTTATGTTAGAAATTTAGAATAAATTGTATTTGTTCTATCTGTGTTGAGTAATAGTAATGTTGTTTATTGGAATTTCTTCGGTATACACCAATCCTATACTTGTATGTATGTATGCATGTATGTATGTATCTATGTATGTATGTATGTATGTATGTATCTCTCTCTCTCTCTCTCTATATATATATATATATATACATATATATATATATATATGGGTTTCACACATTCGCGATCATCAGGCAAACTAAGAGTTTGATGATTGCAAAACACAATGGTGAAACCCAGGTTACAATCTCATATCCATGCAAAATATATATATATATATATATATATATATATATATATATATATATATATATATATGGGTGATGTACCACCTGAATTTGCTAAAGAACCGTTGCTAGAAGGCGCTCCTTATGCCTATAAAAAGGAGTACATTTATCTCCCTAACTTCTTTTACAGCCTTTTAGGTCTGACCTTCAGGCGTACTATCACGTGGGTAAGTTTTCCCATTGGGTCACGTTCATTTTTATTGTTCCTTCGCTTGTATTTTCTACTCTCTCATACACGCTTCATAACCGCGCGTGTACACGCTCACTGACACAAACAGAAACGCAATCAAAAAAATATGCACACACACATTCTCAAAAACGAGCACATTCTCATAGCTAGTTTCATGTTTTTTTAATTTATTCTCATGTAATTTCTTCTGTAAATACAGGCTGTGTCATATATATATATATATATATATATATATATATATATATATATATATATATATATATATATTCATGAATTATTCATACAAAATCAAATACAAAGGTTAATGATTTAATTGGCGAGAAATCCATCTTCACAAAGAATTCAAATAATATACAAAAAACCCGAACCTGTTTTATGAATGAAAAGATCCTTGTTTTATAAATTTCAGTTGCATAAGGTCTTATTATTTTTTCATTTCTTTCATCTGTTCCTACAGACATCCTCAGGTATGGAATAGATTTTGTTCTTGTTTTTACTCTCAGTAATAAGAGGACAACGAAAATAGAGGAGATGTAATCCGAAAAATGCTACGAGAAATGTGTTATTGTTTTGGAACGTGCGGTCGCAACGCTGAGTTTGAATTTAAATTTTAAGTTTGTGCGTTTTTGTACAAATATAGTGATAAGAGAATTCTTTTTTACTGGTTGATACCACCTATCTTCTTCCTCCGAAAACCCTAAGTACATCTCTTTTCTCTTTATTTCCCCACTTTTTTCTCCTGTTCCTTTCCTGATATGATTTCCGTTGAGTTGACCGATTAAATAGGTCAGTGTATGATCCTTACCCACTCCTTTCTCATATCAAGTATTATATTAAAAAGGAATATAAAAATAAATTTTAAAACTCTCCCTTCCCTCTCTAAACTCGACCATGTCTCTCACACTATTCCTCATCACCCTCTAATTCAACTTATATAAGATTAATACTGCCCGTCAAAAGTGTAAATGTAAATTTCATTTTTCGTTTCACCTTTTGAAAGTGATGTTTGAAGATCCAAGGGAAAATAAAATTCTCTGGTGAAATAAATTATTACAATGGAACCTTAAAGTGGTCCGTTTTTCTTTAAATTAATATATATTATGATTAAGATAATTTTCCTTTTTCTAGTTTGTGTTCATCTGGATTTGTTTTTGCCTGTCAGTTTTATCGTTCTTCAAATATCGTGTCGTCGACTGTCATTTAGATATCGCGCCTTCACGGATCAGATCGTGTTGTAGATAGATGCTAGTTTATTTTTGAAAATATCTTTTCCTAAATATAATTTTATCACTGTTGGATTCTCTTTTTTTTTAAATTAATTATTTTAGTAACTCTTTTTGGTTTTACAATTAATTTGAAATAATATTTGCATGTTATTGCTAAAGAGTTGTTTTGCTGTTGTTTGTGTCAGTGATAAGCAATTTAATTGAACTATTATTGGAAAACTACCCCATGTATCGGTGCAATAACGTTTAGAACCACCACAAAATTGTGCCGATTTGCATGCCACATCTATTCTTGGAACGAAAGTGTGCAGAATGTGGTCATCTCATTACGCCACAGTGTTTCCATCAGTGATCATAATTTATGCATTAGTTATTGACAAAGGACGCCATTACACATGTCCAGTAATCCCCATATCGCACCCCTTGCGTCTTTTTCCTCTTAATAAATCAAACTTTACTTAAATGGCACTAGATTTATAATCCAAGAATTATACATCGATTTTTTTCAGTGGTCTAATAATAATAATAATAATTATTATTATTATTATTATTATTACTAGTAGTAGTAGTAGTAGTAGTAGTACTTTTGATAATATTATTAATAATAAAAATAATAATAAAAAATGCATAGTATGTCTGGAACTATGAAAAAATAAATATACCCAGAGACATATCAAGGTAGCGATATATGTACACTGGAGGATATGGAAGAAGAACAAAATCGAAACCAC